GGTGGGTCCAGACCTACCCTGGGCCGATGGCTAGCTACGTCGCTGCAAGGATGAAACGTCTTCACTCAAGAACTTATACAAGATTCATTATCAATCAGTTAGTAGTATATAGAGCATTGATCAGCAGATAACAATAGAGGTTTGCGAGACTGTCCCGGCATCCTGGTCTCGCGGGACTTTTTACGGGACAGGAACCAGACTTTTTTGAAATTAGTCTTGTATGAAACCAGCGACGTAACCAGCCATCGGCCCAGGGTAGGTCTGGACCCACCTCTTGGAGTTTTATTTCTTTTAGGCTTTGAATGTTTTTTGTTTTTAGTTAGAATAGAAAGTAAAGCAGCTTGACAAAAAACACATTTTTCTTGTCCGTTCTGTATTTTCTGGTGTGTACTGGTAGTCAGAATTGATCGATTCCCTCTTATATCTGTGTTAAGCAAAAAAATGTTCTGTTTCAACATAATGTACTATTTATGCACTGAAATAAAAAAAGTATGCAGAGTAAAGACGAAATGAACGATAATAAAAAGAAAGATCTGTAAAGTTATTTTTCTAAAACGCAATAGCTTGATAATAGTAATGATAGTAAATCAAATAGATATGTTCAATTAGAAACACAGGCATCAGAATCATTGTATTCAAATATGTTGACATATGAGGCATCAGCACATTTATCTACATCTCTTTCGACATTGTTTATTTCATGATGAAATTGAATCTCCGCCACTATTATCACCAAGGCCGAATCTAATTGAATCGATTAAATACTTCGTTCCTAATATATATCCGCTGGTATAACTGTTGGATATTCTTCCAGTTTCAGTTACTACTGCCCAACGTTCATTTTCAACAGTGTAGCTGATAAAGAATTATTCAAGAAACGGAACCGGGGATGAACGGTTAAGTAATCTAACTGTTTTGCATGCACATGGTGAGGTTGTGTATTAACCTTGATTTAGGGGAACTCACTAATGAATTCGGCAAACAAAAACATCGAATTACATTTGAGTAAGAGAGATACACTATTTGAATTATTTTCTATTTAATCTTTCTGTTTGCACGAGGCTTTTTGGCATACGATTTAAGCATGTATTTCTCTTATTCTTAACTCGTAGAAAAAATAAGGATGTGGTTAGATAAAGGGCAAATTTCCTGGGTGGGGTCAGAAGTGCTTCAGAACAGGAAAATACTATGTGAGGAAATCAGAAAATTTTTTATGCCCACCTCTCCTAAAAATCCTGGCTACGTCGCTGTATGAAGCATGCAAATTTCTTAGTTTCTGTAGCGTTTTGGCACTAGCGTTTGGTAGAAAGAACTCATACAAAATTCTAAAAGTCTTTAACTAATAATCTTATCGTAACAGTGCTATTTTCCAGATTAGTCTGAATCATTGTCGTGCTGATATACTTTTCAGATTTCAATAAGCTTCCTTAAACTCGATACTTAAACTCTATTCTCCTAGCGAATACCGATACCGGTGTAGGGTACTGCTGAATGGCAGTTTCAATAGCTCGATATCTTCCCTGCAGTTGACAAGCTTTTGACACGGTCACCTATCTCATGACTGGTCATCAAACACAACTCTGGATAAAAGACTAACTTGATGCAGAGTTCGTTCATCGAATTACTGAAGCTCTCAATACCTACTCACTAACCATGTACTAGCTTTCCGGAAAGCTACACGAACTAGCTAGAGGAGCTGCATTGTTAATAATTGATAATTAGGCTAATTAAATTAATTAAGCTAATTAGTTATATTCACATACGAACATTGGCCGATCGAGTGATGACCGCTTACAAAAGAAGCAAATTGTATCATTACAAGTCATGCAAATCCAATAGGGTGTTATGGAAAGTATGATTGAATTTGAGCAACAGCAACACACTATCGACGATTGCTGCCCATAACTGAATGTTGAAATATCCACTCCAATATAACTTTGACTTCAATGGACGGCGATTCCAGAATAGTCTGTACACTGTAATCTGGGATTATTTTCTACTTTATAGTAAATCGATCTGGATCGCCAAGGATTTTCCAACTTTTATAAAATTCTCAGCGATTTTACACTTAGAGACCACAAAGAGGTACTGAAAAGGTCCTCGGATTAGGTCTGGTTAAGACAAAGTCGAGTTTCACCGCAACTTTCTGAAGATCGCAAAGCGATTTGCTCTTGCTAATATTCCCCATTTTTATGTCTGAATTTAGCATCTTCCAAAAATGTACTTGGTTATATTAACTCAAACACATGATCCTAACAATTTATATTTATTTTCTTTATTTTTTAAATAAAATAACAGTCGTTCAGCAATGTCGAATTTGGTTTTCATTAGAAAAAGATCCATATTGTCATCCAATAAGCTGAAATAATACACCCACTCAACTTCAAAGTTCAATAGCTTTTAATAATGGTGAAAAAGTCTATCTTCAGCCATTTTCAAGCAAATCTCTGATTATCAGTATTCTCATTCAAATTGTTCTTCCTCATCATCTAGAAAATCGCTGAGGATTTTCTAGAAAGTAGAAAATAATCCGACTTTTTGATTTTCGAAAAGTTCATATATAAAATCCCAGAGGATTTTCTATAAATAATTCCCAACAATGTAGAAAATCGATGTCAGTTTTCCACATTATTGGAAATTCGATTTTCTATAATCTCGAAAATCCGTGAGGATTTTATATATGGACTTTTTGAAAATCGCCGGGCATTTTCTAAAAAATATTCTCGACTTTACAGTCTATGAGCTCTATGTATTTTTCAGAATAGTTTCAAGCGGGTCTATTCTAGAAAGAACCTGAGGTTATTTCATAATCCTTTTGAGATTAACTTATCTGGAGAGAGCTCACTTTTCATTAGCAGATACGTCGTAGTCTCTACTACTTGTATGCAAAATGCGAGTGAAAAACTCAAAAACTGGAAAATTTCTGAGAGAAATTCATTAGAAGTCAAAGATTTATTTCAGAATAGGTTGTGGTTTCTTCACATTTTTTCAAAGTCAGACTGTAGCTTAAAATTAAAATATTCGTGGTTAAGAATAGTATCAAAAAAACTGACGTTAGAGTCAAAATGCACACTAATATTAAAGCGTGCCGTAACTTTTGACCAAAACGTTTTAAAAGCGATAAGAATCACGTTAGATCTTCGTTTTACCAGAGCTTTCAAATAAGATGGTTAGAAACAATTGAGAAACAATGAGATGCAGCCTAACATCGGCTTTTTACTCACTTTCCCACACAGCGGCGTCTATCCCGCCTAAGCATTTGAGGCCCTTTGTACCACCTCAGACGTTCGAGCCTTTAGTGTGCTCCCTGGAAAATGTTTTTTTTTACAACAAAAAAGTGTCCCACCTACTTCCCAAAGTTGAATTACATACAACTTCTTTAACGAAACTTGTTTATTCCTATTTCTTTTTAAACGTGAGTCCCTGGCTGTAGTGACATCTTAACCCTGTTCATTCATGGAGGCAGAGTCATAGTTTATCGTACTCCAGTGTCGGTTTTTTTGTTCAGTTCTTTCTTAATAAAGAATAGCTTCGTTTTTTCTGACCTACTGACGAAAAAAAGTTTTCTTTAATTTCCGATAATCCTCTTTAACAATAAAAGACACCATGATGATTTGTTTACAAGAATCTTGTACCACGAGACTGTAAATTAATTTCTAAAAATGTCTGATTCGGAGAATGAAACACATGAAAAACACGTGAAGATTGTCATTGTTGGAGATGGTTCCTCTGGCAAAGTGAGAAGAAAAAAAACATGCTATTTCATCCTTCGTCAACTAAAATATCTTCTCATTTATTAGACATCGATATCGTCCCGTTTCTCTAAAGATGCATTCGACCGTGAATATAATCAAACACTTGGAATCGATTATTATTTAAAACGAATTAACTTAACCCGTATATTAACCTTTTAAATATGTAAAAAAAGCCAGCTCAATCAGTAGCTTTCCTTTTACTGTTTTAGGTGATTATAATGTAACATTAGCAATAAATGATATTGGCGGACAAACCCTAGGTGGATCTATGTTAGACAAATATATTTATGGTGCCGATGTGGGTATATACATGGACCGATTCGGTAGAATATTATATTGTTTTTTATTCTAGATTGTTTTGTTAGTGTATGATATTACAAATTTGCAAAGTTTTGAGAATCTTGAAGATTGGTATCAAACAGTGATCAAATATTGTGCGGGACGAAAACCTTTATTTGCATTAGTATGTATATTCTTCATTTTACATGAAAATCATTTCAATGATATTCTTTTGTTATTCATATAGGTTGGCAATAAAAGTATGTATGGGTCATGATGCCATTTATTATTCTTACTCCACTAAGATAGAGGAAAATCGTTTGTTTCTAAAAAGAACAATTGTCAATATTAAGAAAATAATCCGAATTGTCATCGGATGCTATCCTTGCGAGTAAATCTTTTACTATCACTTTTCATAGTTATATATTAATGTTTTAGGTGACCTGGAGCATGCGGTGAGTAAAGTCAAATATTATATGTTTTTTTAAAACATTTACATTTTTTTGTACTTTTAGCGTGCTGTTAAAACGGAGAAACACCAACGCTTTAGTAAAGATAAGGATATTCCGGCCTACTTTGTATCAGCAAAAACAGGCGAATCGGTTGATAACGTATTTCGTCAAGTGACAGCTACTTTGTTACACGTTATGTTACGTTCTGACGATATTCCTCGCATCATACCAGCTCCAATAACACGCCGTGAACCGGAGCGTAATGCGCTACCTATCAAACCACCACCTTCATCAAATACACGCACATCCATTTGTAATCTACAGTGAAATTTGTTTTTGTTTTTTTTTCTTACTCTTCGAACTTTTATTGCTGTTTTGGTTTTCTGTTTATATATAGTTATTCAAGTTTATACTGTGCAATTGAATATAAAAAAACCAGTGTGCATATCTTTTCTTTATCTGTACTTTTTTGTCCATAAATTTTGGATTTTATGAATTCGAGTTTTTTGTTGACATTAACAAAATGAATTAATAAAAACTTTCTTAGGTAGCAAAGAATGGTCCACTTTACCATAACAAAAACATTCCTCAGTTCGATTCAATGAGTGAAACCGTATGTATACAGAATGACAATTGTTAACGGAGCTGAGGTACTTATCACCGCGTACGGATGTTTAAGATCTAGTCCGAGATAATCATGACCTTTTGCTGAAACCATGCTACAATATTAGTATAGGTTATTTGCGTGTTTTCAACGGAAACTTTTTTTATTTTTTTTAACAACGTATAATAGAAAAAACACACATAATCTATGAAAAGCTTGATATTTTGCAATTGTTAGAACTAATTCGTAATCGACGTATGAAAAAGAACATTATGCATATAAAAGCCATTTGAGTTAACAAATATAAACACCAATCCATATTCATACCACATCTAATCACAGATCATGTTGTAATAATTCGTTGTTAATTATTTTGATCTTTCACGCATTCGTCGTCGTTTACGTTTAAGTCGTCGCATACTAAAAATAAAAACAACAGAAAAATTCTCAATAACATTTCAACATTACTTTGACTTTTTTGTTACCGTTTCTTTCTCCATTTGGCACGCATATTATCTAAAACAATAGATTAAGCACATTAGCAACGCACAAAAACGAACGTACAGTGTCTACTGAGAGAAGAGGTCCAGTTGAAGTAGGATTAATATAATAAGCTTTGAGGAGAAAACATGTTTTCCAAACTTAGTCTGTTACTAAAGATAACGCTTCAACTTCGTTGTCATTGGCTCACCAACTCGAGTAGGGATAATAGGTGGAGTAACTACTAACATTAACAGATAAAATTCGGATCAGAAAATAACTTTTTTATTTAGAGACTATACTTGCGATCTGACAACAGTGGAAAATGGACATCTTCTCGATAATCCCTTTATCTACTCTAATTTTAAAACGAGCGACTTAGACTTAGTCAGGTATAGGCAATCAGAAATTGTAAAAAAAAAGCAGAGAAAGATCTTGTTGATCAATCGACCCAAAAGTAAAAAAAACTGAAACGACTGCATGAATGAATGAATGAACTCAAAACGTGTAACCTTTGCTTTTCAATGTTACTGATTCGACGATGGAAAGGGCAAGCAGACGGTACTAGAATTATTTAATCAAGCAAGAAAATTATTGAGATGCTTTTGTAATCTCTTTTTGGCAAGATAAGTCATAAATAGTATAAAGAACAGAGTCAACTTTGAATTTCAATGGTTTATGCATCTCGCATCCTTCTGAATCTTAAACACAAGTATGGTAGATATTGACCAATCAATTTGTTTTAGCCTTAATGTGTTTGATTTTTAAAGAGGATTTTTATGAATGAGATTGTTTGTGGTATTCATAATCAGATGACCGATAATTGTGAACTGATGGCCGTTAAAAAGATGCCTTTATTGGGCAACCATTCGTCCCTACATTGAAAAGCCACGGCTAGCTATTGTTTTTAATAGAAATTATTGTCATGGTGGATTTTTCCACTGTGAAAATAACGTCACAGTCAGAGTTGTCAGATGTTCAGATCAAAAATGCGGAATAAAAACGAAAACGCATTTTCATGGTCTAACTTCATATTTTTCACGCACGGAGAGTCAAAAAAATGTTTTCTATAGCACTTGCTGTTTTTACTCAATAAAACATAAGAGAACAACAAACAGAAATGTAAATCTCGATTTTAATTGACACATTATTTTGTTGCTGGTATATTTTTGAATAGAATGAATAAGTTTAAGCGGTTCTGCCGATGATAAGAATAATTATAAATTTCAGTGCAGGTTAACGATGAGTTTAAACGAATTTTTAACTCAGGAGAAAAACAGCAAAAGCAGAAAATCCTTAAAATGCGGACAAACTACGGAAAAAGCTTAAAAATTCGGAATTTGTTCGCAAAATGCGGACCATTTGGCAGCTCTGGTCACAATGAAAGTTTCCACACTCACAGCTTTCACACTGGAAAAACTTGCATGTCAATTTGGAATAATATGCAGAGGCATAAACATGTGCATTCTCGGTTAACCGTATTTAGTTTATAGGAAGTGTTTCAGAGTAGATGATATTGTCAGTATTTTGTATATATTTCGGTCTCTGATTCGAACTAAGCTTTGACCTTTCTTTTAAAGGATTCGTCGCGAAGTTCTGTACAAGATTTCTATTGAACATTTTGCTTCAAAATATAAATTTAGAGTAGTATATCGTTTATCCTCCATATATCCAAATCCCTCCACTTCCTAACCAAAAAATTAGATTTTTTCAAAAATTCTCCAAATTGCGCGCTGACGTTTTAAAATTCTTTTCTATGTTTTTCGAAATACTTTGGAGTGTCCTGTTTCTTCACATATACATTGTTTTATGTCTAAAGGTCTTTGATATAATTGGAGCTAGTTTCCTGGATTGGATGCATCTAAACCTGAAAAATTGACTTCTTTTCGCTTCCTTTTTCATGAGTGCGATTTAAAATTTCTTTTTACAATGGATATAAAAGAAAACCCATTTTTCTTTGCAATGACATTAGAGTGAGTGAGCCTGGTAGAAAACATTAAGAAAAGTAAAATAAAACGAGTAAAAATAGTTTTCTTCTAGTATATCAGCGACATGAAAAAACAGTCCATTTAGAACAGATGACGAACTAATTTTTGGATTCAGCATAGTCGAGAAGCTAATTGGAACCAGGATAGCAGATCTAAAGCAAGAAAATCAGAAAATAAACTCCCAAAAGCAGAAAAAAGTCAGGAAAAGAAGTTCAAAATCAGAAAATCAATAAACCTATGAACAAAAAAGGGTAGAAACGAGACAGAAAAAGTTACAAAAATCAGAATATCTGGGATCTGTGGTTGGAACTACCATTTTTAGATCGACGTATTGCCAGACGTTTCAGAAAATGTTTAAAACAAGCATCATTTTCTTATTGAAACTTTTGTACGTATTTTATGCAGAAAAAACTTTTGTCGATACGCCTCACAATTTGTAAGTTATCAACTGAAAAATAAAATATCATCCATTGATAAAACATTATCAACGATATTATCCTTATTTACATAACTTTCGATAATTTTTTTTCTCTCTTTCACAAGATATAAAGATAAAAATCTCTTTCACAGATAATCGAACAGATTCCCTATTGAGAATCCGAAAATCGATTAATAAATTTTGTTGTGTTTGATGTTATCTGCTTTTATCGTCAATTCTTTTTGTATTACGAAAAATAATAAATTGTATGCGCAATTATGCCGTAGTTTTGCTTTGAATGATAGAGGCGTAACAACTTCAATGATTTTTTATCACGTATTCGCTTGCAAACTCATTTTTTTGGTTTTAAAATTTCTATTAGTCTGAGCTTTCCTGATCAATCATGTGTATTTTTCATGTGTGTACCATCACTATGTTTGTACTTTCAGATTGTATCTCTCAATATCAGCCAACGTTGAAGTTTTTTTTTAAAAAATCGACACCAATATGTAACTGAATCTTTTGGGAATTTTAGAAGTAATATGAGTGTCCTAATGTCTTTTTTGCTCTTTTAGCACTACACACAACTATTGAAATAAACTCAGAAAAGATTTAGAATCATGGACATAGTTGGAATGGTCACTCGTTTACCAACACTTGTGTTTGGTGCTTCACGATGTGATGATAGTTTTGCCGATCGGCTATCATACAAATATACTGTATTAATGCTTGTCGTATTTGCTATCATTGTTACTAACAAACAATTTGGAACAAAACATATTCAGTGTAAGTATAGGAAAATAATTTCTTTTTGACAGATATATTCATCTTTTTTCATTTAGGTTGGGTTCCAGCGCAGTTTACAAAAAATTATGAAGATTATGTGAACGATATTTGTTGGGTTTCGAACACGTATTATATTCCGCTCGATGAAAAAGTACCCAAAATTGATAGCGTTCGTAGGCAAAATGAACTGGTATGTACATTTTTAATACGTATGCACTCAAATTTGAAAATATATTAGTAAAAATGTGCGAAATATATACTAAAACTAGCGTGATAGGAGTTAAGGAGATCTAAGCTTGAAATGCAAAAGATTCGTTTTTAGTACCATAATTTAACGTTGTTTTTCTCTTTTTTCAGCGTTATTATCAATGGATACCGTTTATTTTGTTATTACAAGCATTTTGTTTTTATTTTCCACATCTTGTGTGGCGCTCACTATCACGGCGAAGTGGTATTGACGTTCGAGATATCATCGATGCTGCAATTAATTATAAATCGGTTGATACAGCAACGAAAGACGATAATCATAAAACAGAACTAATGGAATACATTGTAGAAGCTATTGATAAATATGTGGATGATCCTCGACGTCAACCTGATGAACGCGGAACAAAAATTAGTATAAAACGTTTATTTATGACAATCTGCATTTTTTTAGGAAAATATCTAGGTAATTATTTAATTATTGTATATTTTACAACGAAAGCATTATATATTACAAATGCCGTTTGTCAAATATTTTTATTAAATCTGTTTCTTGGCCAAAAATTTCATCTATTTGGTATACAAGTTGTTAAACGTATTATTGAAGGAAAAGGTAAAAGAGTATTTTTTTAAGAGTAGTATAGTATAATTTAAAAAAATCTGTTTATTTTCCTAGGCTGGGATACAAAATCAATTTATTTTCCAAAAGTGACACTATGTGATTTTCAAATACGTGAAGCATTACATCCAAGAGATTCTCATCGTTATACTGTTCAATGTGTATTACCATTGAATCTTTTTTCGCAGCAGGTAAGAAAGTAACAGTGTTTTGACGTACCTAGTCAATCAGGTGATTCTCTTTTTTAAGATTTTTACCTTTATCTGGTTTTGGTATATGATGGTATTCATTGTTGTAAGTAAAAAATTTACATACTTTAACTAAAGTATCTAACAAAAATCATCTTTTTTTTTTCTATCAGTCAATATTTGATGTCATCGTATGGGTTACACGCTTCTTCCCGGATAAACAATATAATTATATTAAACGTCGTCTTCAATTGATGAAACGTGATACTGATTTTAATCAACAACCACCCGAATACGTTCAAGGATGGTACAAAGAATTTATATTTGGTTATTTGGAACCGGATGGAATATTTATGTTACGATTATTGTCATCAAATACAAGTGATTTTGTTTGTACGGAAGTTATTAACCAATTATGGCAAGCCTACTATCATAAAGATATTAAAGAAATCTCACGTAAACGTCGACGAGAATTAGGGGGTGACGTGTATGTTCCTCCGGTACAACGACAAGTATCCGAGCCACCAGATTTAACAGAATCCTATGATACAATTCGTCGACGAGCTAATTATCCATCGCCATCGCCCATTTCAAACGGTGGTATGCCCCTATTTTCGTCGTCAAAAAATGCAGGTACATCATCGTTGACACCACTAGTTGAATCAGAAGCTTAGAATTGCTTTATTTTACTTCCTGTGCAGTGACATTTTATATTTTCAATATACTACGCAATATTCTTCTCGACAGTATTTCTCAGGCAATAATTCTCTCGTCTAGTATCGCAATATTTTCTTAAATGTACATATAGAGATAAAAATAGAATCTCAACTTTTGTTGTTCTTTCGAAATATTTACACTTTTTTTATGTGTTGTGTGCTTTGTATTACAATTTTTAGTTTTGTTTTTGTAACGTTTTTATTTTTTGTAGTATTGCAATAGATTAGACTTTGTTTATTTATTAATAATATTGTTTTGTGCGATACGTTTGTATCTTTTGCTCATGGATGGGCAATTCCGACGAATAGGTAAAGCTCTTCACCCATCAATGCTCTCAAATTAGACTTAGTACAAGTTCCAGCAGATTTAATATTATCAAACTCGAAAACTCTAACTAATTCGACATTTACAATGTATAAGTACTGAAACATTTCATGGTTATAACTCATTATTTTGGCTGTAGGTTGATATGCTTAATCTTATTAATACTACAGGTAGGACAATGGATAACTACATTACACTTTCAAATCGTATCTAGAATGAACCGCCAATTAAGTTTTGTAAGTCACATTTTAATCACAACTTATCCATTTGCTAAATAGTCAGAGATTTTCCTTCCCTATTACATATTTAATAAAACACGTTTTTGAAAATTTTTTCAGACTGCGTGATTTTTGCACATTAAAATAAAATTTCTGTATTACCTTGTAAAAGATTTTTTCTTAATCGCTCGCTAATGTTAAACTTATTTCCACATTCATATCCATAAGTTTGCATTGTAGGTGGTATTGATGAATGCTGTTAAATAACGACATCTATACTTGATAATATTAATAAATTATACTAATACAATGTGATTAGAACATATTTTATAAAGACATTTGATTTTTTAGTTAGAAACGACTACTCAGTTTCGTTGAAGCTTGTTCTTATTGCATACAGGATGTTGATCTCTATCGACAAATGGTGTTTTCTAGTCTGTCCAACTTATACTTCTTCTTCTCCATCTTTTTCCAGAGTAAACGTTGTTGTTGTTTTTCGTTAGATAACTCGTAACCAGTAACCTTGATTCATCGATCTATCTCTAGTTTTTCTATCGTTGATTGAAACCCAGATTATATTTCAGCAAATTTGTTCTAACATACACAGGATGCTGCTTGGTTAATTAATGAAGAGGCAGTACTTTTTTTCTTAAGTATCCATATTTTCTGTACGATTTGATCGTAAATGTTCTATATTATGTATAAGTCAGGAACAGATGGCAGGTGCGTTTTCGTTTTTCTCTGATTTAGTGGGCTCTTAACTTTTAGCCTGTTTATTAGGTGATTGGCGTATAACCGGAGACGACCGACTCAAATATGATTCGTTTTTTCAAAGCCTTGGACCGACGCAAGGATTCTTGACAGGTTTGTTGAAACTTTTCTTTCCATACCCATAAATACAATTTATCTTAGGAATAATGCACCACAATTTATTTATTAACAACTATACTTAAGATATCATGATTATTACTTACAAAACAACACAAGAATATTTTCTGTTTATTTAGGCGATCAAGCACGCGAATTTTTTATCAAATCAGGTCTATCGGCAGATATACTACGAAAAATTTGGTATTTGATTGCGAAAAGAAACGACTCATCTAACATATCTATGTCAACTTTCTCTTTTTTCTTCTTCAAGGGACTTGTCAGATTTAACAGCAGATGGACGATTGGATCGACGAGAATTTACTATTGCTTGTCACTTGATTTCGTCTCAGGTATAAAAATTTATTACAACGAAAACGGATTGACGTGTGTAATTATAATAATTTGCATGTTAAGGTGCAAAACAAATTTGTTTTACCATCAACGTTACCACCCTCCTTCTTAGCCGATACAACACTACCGGGAGCAGTTGGCAATGCGTTTTCTATGTCAAGGGATAATGCAGTTTTGACGGGGATGTCAATGCCCTCGTTAATTTCCGGTGTACCTGTAGCAAAAACATTCTTACCATCGATCCAAACGATAAATGCACCAACTTCATCTTCGACAATTGCTGCTCCTTTAACAATAACTGGTAAAGCCATAGATATATTTGTCTTTTAGTCCTTTTTTTTAATCAAATTCCGTTTATATATAATATTAAGGATTTCCAATCTATCGTGGTAAGATATGACGGATGAAAGAGTCTAACACTATTATATTGCACTCGAGAAGCTACTCACACACACTTTTCTTTCATATCCGACTGGTTGATATACGACAAGTGATTTCAGAACATGCTTAAATAATAGCAACAGATCAGAAATCTGTGTTTACGTAAGATTTAGAATCATGGACATAGTTGGAATGGTCACTCGTTTACCAACACTTGTGTTTGGTGCTTCACGATGTGATGATAGTTTTGCCGATCGGCTATCATACAAATATACTGTATTAATGCTTGTCGTATTTGCTATCATTGTTACTAACAAACAATTTGGAACAAAACATATTCAGTGTAAGTATAGGAAAATAATTTCTTTTTGACAGATATATTCATCTTTTTTCATTTAGGTTGGGTTCCAGCGCAGTTTACAAAAAATTATGAAGATTATGTGAACGATATTTGTTGGGTTTCGAACACGTATTATATTCCGCTCGATGAAAAAGTACCCAAAATTGATAGCGTTCGTAGGCAAAATGAACTGGTATGTACATTTTTAATACGTATGCACTCAAATTTGAAAATATATTAGTAAAAATGTGCGAAATATATACTAAAACTAGCGTGATAGGAGTTAAGGAGATCTAAGCTTGAAATGCAAAAGATTCGTTTTTAGTACCATAATTTAACGTTGTTTTTCTCTTTTTTCAGCGTTATTATCAATGGATACCGTTTATTTTGTTATTACAAGCATTTTGTTTTTATTTTCCACATCTTGTGTGGCGCTCACTATCACGGCGAAGTGGTATTGACGTTCGAGATATCATCGATGCTGCAATTAATTATAAATCGGTTGATACAGCAACGAAAGACGATAATCATAAAACAGAACTAATGGAATACATTGTAGAAGCTATTGATAAATATGTGGATGATCCTCGACGTCAACCTGATGAACGCGGAACAAAAATTAGTATAAAACGTTTATTTATGACAATCTGCATTTTTTTAGGAAAATATCTAGGTAATTATTTAATTATTGTATATTTTACAACGAAAGCATTATATATTACAAATGCCGTTTGTCAAATATTTTTATTAAATCTGTTTCTTGGCCAAAAATTTCATCTATTTGGTATACAAGTTGTTAAACGTATTATTGAAGGAAAAGGTAAAAGAGTATTTTTTTAAGAGTAGTATAGTATAATTTAAAAAAATCTGTTTATTTTCCTAGGCTGGGATACAAAATCAATTTATTTTCCAAAAGTGACACTATGTGATTTTCAAATACGTGAAGCATTACATCCAAGAGATTCTCATCGTTATACTGTTCAATGTGTATTACCATTGAATCTTTTTTCGCAGCAGGTAAGAAAGTAACAGTGTTTTGACGTACCTAGTCAATCAGGTGATTCTCTTTTTTAAGATTTTTACCTTTATCTGGTTTTGGTATATGATGGTATTCATTGTTGTAAGTAAAAAATTTACATACTTTAACTAAAGTATCTAACAAAAATCATCTTTTTTTTTTCTATCAGTCAATATTTGATGTCATCGTATGGGTTACACGCTTCTTCCCGGATAAACAATATAATTATATTAAACGTCGTCTTCAATTGATGAAACGTGATACTGATTTTAATCAACAACCACCCGAATACGTTCAAGGATGGTACAAAGAATTTATATTTGGTTATTTGGAACCGGATGGAATATTTATGTTACGATTATTGTCATCAAATACAAGTGATTTTGTTTGTACGGAAGTTATTAACCAATTATGGCAAGCCTACTATCATAAAGATATTAAAGAAATCTCACGTAAACGTCGACGAGAATTAGGGGGTGACGTGTATGTTCCTCCGGTACAACGACAAGTATCCGAGCCACCAGATTTAACAGAATCCTATGATACAATTCGTCGACGAGCTAATTATCCATCGCCATCGCCCATTTCAAACGGTGGTATGCCCCTATTTTCGTCGTCAAAAAATGCAGGTACATCATCGTTGACACCACTAGTTGAATCAGAAGCTTAGAATTGCTTTATTTTACTTCCTGTGCAGTGACATTTTATATTTTCAATATACTACGCAATATTCTTCTCGACAGTATTTCTCAGGCAATAATTCTCTCGTCTAGTATCGCAATATTTTCTTAAATGTACATATAGAGATAAAAATAGAATCTCAACTTTTGTTGTTCTTTCGAAATATTTACACTTTTTTTATGTGTTGTGTGCTTTGTATTACAATTTTTAGTTTTGTTTTTGTAACGTTTTTATTTTTTGTAGTATTGCAATAGATTAGACTTTGTTTATTTATTAATAATATTGTTTTGTGCGATACGTTTGTATCTTTTGCTCATGGATGGGCAATTCCGACGAATAGGTAAAGCTCTTCACCCATCAATGCTCTCAAATTAGACTTAGTACAAGTTCCAGCAGATTTAATATTATCAAACTCGAAAACTCTAACTAATTCGACATTTACAATGTATAAGTACTGAAACATTTCATGGTTATAACTCATTATTTTGGCTGTAGGTTGATATGCTTAATCTTATTAATACTACAGGTAGGACAATGGATAACTACATTACACTTTCAAATCGTATCTAGAATGAACCGCCAATTAAGTTTTGTAAGTCACATTTTAATCACAACTTATCCATTTGCTAAATAGTCAGAGATTTTCCTTCCCTATTACATATTTAATAAAACACGTTTTTGAAAATTTTTTCAGACTGCGTGATTTTTGCACATTAAAATAAAATTTCTGTATTACCTTGTAAAAGATTTTTTCTTAATCGCTCGCTAATGTTAAACTTATTTCCACATTCATATCCATAAGTTTGCATTGTAGGTGGTATTGATGAATGCTGTTAAATAACGACATCTATACTTGATAATATTAATAAATTATACTAATACAATGTGATTAGAACATATTTTATAAAGACATTTGATTTTTTAGTTAGAAACGACTACTCAGTTTCGTTGAAGCTTGTTCTTATTGCATACAGGATGTTGATCTCTATCGACAAATGGTGTTTTCTAGTCTGTCCAACTTATACTTCTTCTTCTCCATCTTTTTCCAGAGTAAACGTTGTTGTTGTTTTTCGTTAGATAACTCGTAACCAGTAACCTTGATTCATCGATCTATCTCTAGTTTTTCTATCGTTGATTGAAACCCAGATTATATTTCAGCAAATTTGTTCTAACATACACAGGATGCTGCTTGGTTAATTAATGAAGAGGCAGTACTTTTTTTCTTAAGTATCCATATTTTCTGTACGATTTGATCGTAAATGTTCTATATTATGTATAAGTCAGGAACAGATGGCAGGTGCGTTTTCGTTTTTCTCTGATTTAGTGGGCTCTTAACTTTTAGCCTGTTTATTAGGTGATTGGCGTATAACCGGAGACGACCGACTCAAATATGATTCGTTTTTTCAAAGCCTTGGACCGACGCAAGGATTCTTGACAGGTTTGTTGAAACTTTTCTTTCCATACCCATAAATACAATTTATCTTAGGAATAATGCACCACAATTTATTTATTAACAACTATACTTAAGATATCATGATTATTACTTACAAAACAACACAAGAATATTTTCTGTTTATTTAGGCGATCAAGCACGCGAATTTTTTATCAAATCAGGTCTATCGGCAGATATACTACGAAAAATTTGGTATTTGATTGCGAAAAGAAACGACTCATCTAACATATCTATGTCAACTTTCTCTTTTTTCTTCTTCAAGGGACTTGTCAGATTTAACAGCAGATGGACGATTGGATCGACGAGAATTTACTATTGCTTGTCACTTGATTTCGTCTCAGGTATAAAAATTTATTACAACGAAAACGGATTGACGTGTGTAATTATAATAATTTGCATGTTAAGGTGCAAAACAAATTTGTTTTACCATCAACGTTACCACCCTCCTTCTTAGCCGATACAACACTACCGGGAGCAGTTGGCAATGCGTTTTCTATGTCAAGGGATAATGCAGTTTTGACGGGGATGTCAATGCCCTCGTTAATTTCCGGTGTACCTGTAGCAAAAACATTCTTACCATCGATCCAAACGATAAATGCACCAACTTCATCTTCGACAATTGCTGCTCCTTTAACAATAACTGGTAAAGCCATAGATATATTTGTCTTTTAGTCCTTTTTTTTAATCAAATTCCGTTTATATATAATATTAAGGATTTCCAATCTATCGTGGTAAGATATGACGGATGAAAGAGTCTAACACTATTATATTGCACTCGAGAAGCTACTCACACACACTTTTCTTTCATATCCGACTGGTTGATATACGACAAGTGATTTCAGAACATGCTTAAATAATAGCAACAGATCAGAAATCTGTGTTTACGTTTTGTTTACACGCCTTAAGAGTCCTAATTATGCAGTATATCTTTCTCCACCAATTCGTTTTATTTTCTATTAAATAATTTTTCTTATGACATAAAGCATCCTGCTCTAAACAAACTTGCTTTATTCTTTTGAAAAGACATTTTAATTGATCTTATTATACTACCTAATGCATTCTACTAATGTTCACCACAAACGGAAGTAAAAACTTGTGTAAATGTAATTGATTTTTTCTTTTCTAGCTGCTGTACCCCCCTACACTCATTCCACGGGGTATGTGATTGTTTTTCTATTTTTTGGTCTTTTTATTATTCTATAATTATTTTTCTTTCTCTGTTCATGCTAGAAATTTATTAAAGTCTGGTATACCATCACCTATGTTGCCTCCACTCACACCGCCATTACGCTCAAAATATTTACAACAATTTCATGCATTAGTTGATATAACAAAAACAAATGGTTTTATGAGTGCTTCACAAGCAAAAACTATCCTTCAACAAACTGGTTTACCTCAACCTGTTCTACACCAGATATGGTGCGGATATGTCTATTGATTCATATTGAAATTATATTTTATTGTTTGTTTATTCACTAGGACATTAGCCGATTACGATAAAGACGGTAAATTAACATCAGATGAATTTATTATTGCGATGCATGCATGTGAAGTAGCCAAAATGGGGATACAATTACCACCACGTTTACCAGACGAATGGTGTACTCAACAGCAAGAACGAAAATTATCATTTGGAAATACTAGTGGACCAAAATCAAATGGATCACTATTTTCATCATTAAATCAAGAACTCAAAGATGTTTTTAAAACGACTGATACTACTAAACGAAGAGCTGAAACAACGGCCAATGACTCTGTTGCGACAGCGACGGTTGATTCAACTGGTTCACCAGCAGCAGATAGACGAAATAGTGTAACATCCTATGAAGATAAACGACGAATGAATTATGAAGATGGTAATAAAGAATTAGAACGACGTCGTCAAATGTTAAAAGAAATAGAAGAACGTGAACAACGAGAACGTGAAGGTCAGACATTTCAATATAGATCATATTTCTTGTAATATTTACGAGATTTTTTTATTTAAAAAAATTTCAGAACGAGAACGTTTAAGAGAAGAAAAATTACAAAAACAAAAAGATGAACAAGACAGAAAAAAACAAATGGACTTAGAAAAACAATTGGAACGTCAACGACAAATTGAACAACAACGAGAAGAAGAAAGAAAAAAATTAATTGAACAACGTGAAGTAGGTTGCTATTTTTCACTTAATATACGCATGGACAGAAGATCGCGTTTTGAATTTCAATAAAATGCTACCGAGTCATATCCGTGCTAAATTATAAAATATCGATTAGAAATGTTTCATTTCATCGAGAAAGAGTGGTATAAAAAACTAACGGTATACATATATTGTTTAAAATCGTACATTGTACGTAACAATATCGAATCCAACATGTATGACTGTTATAACAAATTTTGTGCCAAACATTAATTGAACAACATGAAGTAAATTGCTATTTTACATTTGACATACGCATGGACAGAAGATCGCGTTTTGATTTTAATAAAATGCTACCGAGTCATATCCATGCTAAATTATAAAATATCGATTAGAAATGTTTCATTTCATCGAGAAAAAGTGGCATAAAAAACTAACGGTATACATATATTGTTTAAAATCGTACATTGTACGTGACAATATCGAATCTAACATGTATGACTGTTATAACAAAGTTTGTGCCAAACATTTTACTCATAATTCATTATCAAAATGATTCCAAATCTATACGCTTTTCTGTAAATTTTCAGACTGCACGTAAAGAAATGGAACGTCAACGTCGTTTAGAATGGGAACGTCAACGTATGCAAGAGTTATTAACACAAAAATCACGTTTAACTGAACAAATTAATGACATGAAATCACGTGAAAAAGGTATTGAATTAGAATTACAAAGTATGGATGATAAAATAGAAACATGTCAGAATAAAATTCAACAAACAAATAATTCTATACATAATATTGATGATGTCATAGCAAATATTCAAAAAAATAGCGCAACACAAAAATCGGAATTAGAAATGTTAGAGCAAGAAACAAAAGTAATTGAGATAGTTGAATGTAGAGAAAGAAGAAAAAACAATTAGTAATTTCTAATTTTTTTGTTTAGGACTTGATATCACGATTAGCAACAACACAAAGTGAAAAAGAAGCTCTTGAATCATCATTAAAACAGTTGAATCAATCAAAAGAGTTTGGTATGTATCCATTTAAATCTCATTTTGTATGGCAGTTTTTTGACCGAAAAAAACTATATTATGACGAGACATTACACTGCATTTTAATTGTTTAATGTCAAACTAAGACTAAGAATTATTATCATTTATTATCCTACATTAGTTATGTTGTATAGATGATCGCTTGATGGCATAGTGCTGCCATTCTTCCTATTACACCTATACGATTTTATTTCTAAAAAACATTTTTCATTTGATGTATATCCTAGGTGGTACAAATCGTGAATCTGATTTGGTACAAGTGGTTAAAAGCCAAATAGAAAACTTCAAAACTGAAAATGTTCGCATAGATGAACAAATTGCAACAACATCGGCTACTTGTCAAGAATTTCAAAATCAAATGGAAGTATGTATTATTTACGTATAGTTAGTTATATTATACAAATATGATTATTTATTTTTTAAATAGCAACTTCGTACTAAATTAAATCAATTAGAGAATGAAGCAAGAACAAAAGTGAAGAAAGATGATACAACGTATAGTATTTTTATACTCTATCATGCAATACATTAAATAATCAAATTTTTATGTTCTTAGGAAAGTCGTCTCTCCAGTCTCAACTACATCGTCGCGTAAGTAATCTGTTTTTTATTTTCTAGTGCTTTAAAGTGCTGATATTTATTGCTTTATTCTATTGCTACAGCAAATTATGATGTATTTTATTCTGCTTCTTCTGCTACAAATAAACAAAATTCTTTTGAAATTGAAAACAAAACACCAACATCATTGTCCACTTTTGATGCCATCGAGATTGATCCATTTCAAACCGTTGATCCATTTTCATCAAATACTATTGATCAACAATTACATCAGACACAAGAGAATAATACTGATTGGTTTCAACAACCACATACAGCAGCAATTCAAGATAGTCTGTCAGAAGTGACTAATGATCCATTTAGTGCGAAATATATACCTGACAGTGGTTCTCTACCAACAACTGATCCATTTTCTTCACAAGTTGTTGAGGCACCATTGAAAACAACATCGAAAAAAGCTGCTCCAAAAGTATCAATAAAAGGTTTGTCTATTAACAATGGGATTAAATTTCTTGCTAATAATTAAAACTTAATATGATCAAGTTTTCTTTTCTATATTGACTTGATTTGTATGCAGATTACTTTTTTATTGTGCTAGAAAGAGTGAATCGATAATCAATAAACAATTTGAGAAAAAAAGCATGTTTTTTTATGTTTTTTAGAAAAAGATCGACAATCGCAACAACAATTTGATCCATGGGGGAGTAGTTCAACAAAACAAAATAATGGTTTTGACAATGTTGGTAATAATTGGACACCATTTAATCCACCAGAAAATAATGGATCTCCCACGACTGGATGGCCTCAACAAACTCAGACGGATACTTGGGCCAATACCGGTACCTCATCCAAGACGAGTAAGTTATTGATATTTATTAAATATTAGAATAAATTTTTGTATTTTTATTTTTAGATTTAATCAAATATCGAGCTATATTCAATTATGTATCAGATCGTGAAGATGAATTATCTATTTCGGTTGATGATGAAATTTGGGTAAGTTAGTAAGCTTGTTTAACGAATCGTACAATCCAAGAATGAATGAAATAGTAAACATTTTTTATACGATTCTTTAGTCTTATTCATATTCTCTTATTATTTAAATTTTAGAAAGCCAAGGCAAGTTTAGTATATATCTAACGATTAGAGATACTATGTTTTTTAAATAAGACATTTAGACTGTAGTATAAATATAAGCTCTTTATTTCGCTTCGTCACATATTGCACAAGCCTTTCAAAGACGATATACAGACACACACAACTATACACATTTATCTAATTGATCTCTTACAGCTTTTTCGATTCGTTAGTTACGCATCACTGAATAAAGAATTATCCTAGTCTATATCGGAACATACATGTGGACTCATCTGTTGTTGTTATTTTTACGACAAAGAGTTAAATGTGAAAAAAAAGCACATTAGTATGAGTATTTTTAACCTTTACATCCATTTTGTCAATCTATTCTAGTTAGTACTTGCATAAAAGCTTCTGAACAATGCTTTTTATTTTATTGCTTGTTGACTTTTTGTTTTTTTGAAGATCACATGATATCATGTATTTGTTTCCTTTTCTTTTTTTGAGTCTAGTAACGACAGATAGTCTTGAAAAAGTTTCGATAGTTCTCTGACTACAAAGTTTGTCGTCAATGCACGTTTTATTAGAGTTATCAATATTTGTCGTTCAGAGGGTGACTGTGTTTTATCTTTAATTAAAGCAAAATCGATTTTCTAAAAAGAGTTAGTAATTCTGCTAAATAATTTTTGTTTTTCTTTACTTTATATTATAGCGACAAAATTTAAACATTGCATGCAATAAGAACTAGTATTTTGCCAAAAAAAATTCAAATATCTTCGATTTTATTGAATGAAATACGAATGAATATGCAATTTCTATTTTTGTGAAGTGTAGAACACGAAAAGTTCAATAGTAAAAAACGTGCATGCATTGATTGCTTTCGCCAGATCAATCTGTCTATAGAGAATTATTGATCTATGAATAGATGTTGAGGAGAAAGGACGCATTTTAATCTAACAGTGCTCATATTGGTAGATAAATAGATAGTAAAGTTAAGCCAATTTCTCTAAATAACCTTAATAAATAACATACGATTATTTTCTATAGGTTGATCCTGCCATGCAACAACATGAAGGATGGCTTTATGGACAATTGAATCAAAAACAGGGTTTATTTCCGGCTAATTACGCTGAAGTTGCAGTTGAACAGTAAGTATTTTTGTTGAATTCAATGTTATGAATATTGAAGAGTTCTAAATTTGTTTATTAGACCGATAACTAACGTTCCTGTTCCAGTAGCTGTTCCAGATACCACTTCTATATTGAAAGTATGTGTGTTATGGTAGAAAAAAACTTTAAAAATAATAAAAATCTTCTTTTCATCTATTTATTTGATAGCCGGGTACACTAGTTATTACAATGTTGGAACTTCAAGGAAAAACTCCGGATAAACATCTTTCATTTGCGAAAAATGAATTGATAGAAGTTATAGATCAAAAAGATTCATCATGGTATAGAGGAAAATTAAAAGGCAAAGTAAGTTACAAGATCAAAAATTATTAAATGAATTAGTATAACATACAAAACTGTTTTGTGTTTTATTCATTATAGTTTGGCTATTTTCCTCGAAATTATGTACGAATACCAACTGAAGCCGAACTAAATCAGTTTAAAAATTCACCAAAGTACGAATAGAATTGTTTTTCTTTCTTTCCATCTGAATTTGATTTAATTTTTAGAACAAGTCCAACAAGTGAAAAATCTGTTACATCACCGACACATATATATCCAAATTTATCTGATATGACAATGAATGATGAAACGGGTAAAGTCAGTTATTTTTGTAGTTTGTAATAGCTTATAAAACATCAACAATTGTCTTGTTTTGAAATTATCACTACAGGTTTCTTTGGTCATTAAAAACACAGAATGTTAAACACGACCGGTCACATTCTTTTTTTTAGTTATCTACCGTTCACCAACAGTAGTACCCACGTCTTCATCTGTTAACAGACACTTAAGTTTGAGATCTGTTGCCATGCGTAAGTCACATATAGACGCATTATCTCAACTCTTGCCATATACGTTGTATGCTTCGTTCAAGTTATGCTTTGGTTAATATGCTTAACATTTCTTGAAAAATAAACTTAACGTTTCTTTGAAACTAAAATTTCGAACAAAAATATATGCTAAGAATAATTTTCATTTTTATTCTTATAAATCTAACATTTACTTCTATGTACATAATTATTTGTAATATCGTATTTCGATGGTGCTTTCTATATCAAGAAAAGATCGTATTACTCTTTATGCTTATTTGTATTTGATGGTGGTAAAGGTTAAACTTGTTTGAGAACAAAATGCATTCTAACATTGAAAATAATTGTACTATTGGAATATGAACGATTTTTTTAACTATCTTTTTAAAGACTATACTATGCAGTATGTCTATAAAAGTTTTTAATAAATATTTTATTTTTGTTTTTTGTATGTTTAGCTGATATATACGAAACATTATTTTCTTATGTTGGTAGTGATCCAGATGATTTAAGTTTTAATGTCGGTGAACATGTTATAGTATTAAAACGCGATGGTGATTGGTGGAGAGGAAAAATTGGTGACAGAGAGGGAACATTTCCCTATAATTATGTTGCAAAAGTTGAGAAGGTAGTACAAAAACATAGTAATCGTTTTAATTTTGATTTAATTAATGAACTTTTTTCTTTCTCTATTTTTTAGCCATTACAAGAGACAGCTACTGCTATTTTGCCATATAAAGCAACGGACAAAGGTCAAATATCTTTTAATATTGGTGAAATAATTTATATACATAAAAAAGGTGATAAAGGCTGGTATCATGGTGAACTTCGTGTAAGTATATTTCTAATATAGATGATTATAAAATATATCAAAACATATTTAAATTGGTAATATAGCGACCTGGCGAAGCGATTCAAGTTGGATGGTTTCCTGCTAATTGTGTTCAATTACAATCATCATCTTTAGATGCTCAATCACCGTCAGCAATGGTAAAAATGTTTTTTGATTTATTTTTAAGCATTACTTTGAATATTTGTATTTTTTAGCCAACTGTTCTACAATCACCAACGTCTAGTTCATCATCAAGTAAGAAAACTTTATTTTTCTATACCATATAATGAAATTTTTATTTTGTTACTTACAAGATCCAAAAGTGAAAGCTATTTATTCATATCAAGCACAACATAATGATGAATTAAGTTTTGAACAAGATGAAATATTAACAATTATTAGTGAAGCCGGTCAGGGATGGTAATATTCTTAGATTATTTTTTTAGAAATATATATTTGCTTCATAATATTCTACTCTACTTAGGTATAACGCAAAACTTGGTGATAATGTTGGACTAGTCCCGTCCACATACGTCAGTTTAATAGAAAACTGTGAGTAAAATTTGAAATTTCTTCTATTTTGCTTTTGCTATTATTGACAAACACTTCTGTAGATTTATTGGCTTTAGATGCACGTTTAATCACTAAAGTTTGAGAGTTTTACTAAATCATTCATTACAAAAATCTATAGTAAATGATTGTAGAGATGAGGTTGACTATATTGTACAGTGTCTACCGACAAAGATGTAAACATAGAAGATGCAGTGAAGAAATCGCAGGATATATCTATATATGAAAGAGCAAAATTTTGTTGACTTATCCTATTAGATTCCTTTAAACAGGGTAGTCAGAAAAATGATGGAGGCATTTTCTGAACAGAAAATACCCTATGAGATGAATTAGATCTCAGTTTAACGAAAAATACAGAAACTGTCATTGTCTAATTAGTTTTACTTATTCATTTCTCATTTTTGCTATTCATACTATTGTCAAATCGGCATAATTTATGGTTTTTTGTTTTTATTCTTGTGGATTTTTGAGACATATTACGCTTTCTAGAAGTCACCTGTTTTCTTTTATACGCTCTAAAACATAGTCAGTATGCTGCTCGAAAAACTAATAAAAAAAATCTATTAGAATGTTTCTAGAACAAGTTCAAAATTTCCATCTTGAATTAATCAACCAATTATTTTTTTATTTTCCTAGAATTTTTTTTTTCCTTTTAAAAAATAATAATCCATTGTTCAACTCCGATTTTTTGGGCATATCTCTGATTAATTAACGGAAAATATATTGCACACGCACTCTGTTTTGTCTGTTTTAGGACAGTTCCACATATACAAAAAACATATTTTTTATCTATCGTAGATGGCTGATACGTGCATATTGAAAAAGAACAATAGAAACTTCCTGATTTTTTTTTGTTTTTTTTCTTTTTGTCAAGTCATATGGTCTCAACGAATAAAAACAATTATTTTGATTGAAAAATATATATATATCATTAATAAGTCATATAGGTTCTTTTTTATCGTTGTATTCCATCTCAATTTTGATTTTATTGTAATTTCTCACTATTTTTCTGTATATGCTTATGTCTGTATTACCCAAATTTTTTTTATCTTATCTCAAAAATCCACATATATGCCGATTTGCAACTAAAAATATTATTATTCAATTATTTTTCTTCTTTTTATTTCATTCTTCTTCTATTTCGTAGTATTGAAATGAAAATTTTCTGTTCTTGCTCAAAAATCTGTTTCATTTGAATAAGAAAAACAAAAAAATGAGAGAGTCCTTTTTCAAATGTCAACTGAGATGAAAAATTTCTCGTTGATATCAACAGCATAAGAGAGCAATACCTTATTCTTCCAATCCTATTCTTTTTGTCTATTCTCCTCAGATTGATTGAGCTAATTTATTTATATGCAATATATATATTTTCCTTTTTTTTCTGATTCACTTTTTTCTTTTTAAAATGTTAAATCCTGGTGATCCGTGTTTGTATAGTCTCTATTTTTCTAGTGTGCCGTACGACGATGTTTTTTTTCCTTCTCCTCCTATATCTGTGTAAATAACGCATTATAATTCGCACGTTTTACTAATTATTATAAACCAAAGAGATCTGACTTCCTTATAATATTTTCGAACACAAATCTGATCATTCCAACTAAAAAGGACTTCTTTCTTTCTAATCCCACGTTTAATCATTTTGCGATATTATTAGTGCTCTCTGTGTGCAATATTTATTTATTATTGTTGTTGTTGTTGTTGTCTGTGTGTGTGTGTGTTTCTCAATCTCGCTTTCTCCATTGTCATAGTTTTTATTTTTATTCACTTAACTTTGTCTGTATGTGTGTTCGTTTTTTTTTTTGACAAATATAAATAATGCATTAAAAAAAAGAAAAATCATATATATATATATTCCATTATATCTTTCGGAGCAAAAATGGATTCAAGCAACATTAATTATCATTTTTGAACATATAAATTTGAATTATATTTTTAGTCGTGATGTTTAAAAAAATTTTCTCATATATTTGTTGTTTTCCCATTGTATCAAAATGGCTACATAATAATCCTAGAGATACATCAACGGTACACTTTTTACAGACATCACCACTAAGACATGAACCGTTTTGTAAGTTATTTAAAAACAACAAGAAAAATAATAACAATTAAGAAAATTTCTCAGCATGATTATTTTTATAAATGCATGAATGTGTTAACTAATGAAAAAAAGAAAAAAAAAAGAAATTATCGGAAAAACATAATAATAAAATGTAGTATTTTGAGTATACAAGATAAATATTGAACTTTCATTATTTTAGAATGATTTTGAACTCAAAAATTTTTCTTTGTTTTGTTTTTTTGTTATTTTTCTGTAATTTCTTCGACAATTAAGAGACAAAATGTTCTTTTTATTTGTTTTATTGATGCATGTTTATAAATAATTGAGTACTAATTAAGTAAACTCTTTGCACAAGATATTTAAATGAAGCATGTTTTTTTTCATCTTTGGAAAACATATTAGCTCATACAATAAAAAAAAAGTCAATATCCAACGTTTTCTTAACATCGTCATTTTCTATTAATATTTAGTTGAAATAACAAATCAGATAGTTCCAACATCGAATTCGACACACTCTATTCACAATTCTTCTCGTTTATCAGCCATTCGTGAGCTAATTGAAACTGAACAACGTTATGTAAATGATTTACGAACAGTAGTCAATGAATTTATAATACCAGCAACAAATTACAATATTTTATCATCTACGGATATCGATTCATTATTTATAAATTGGTATGAGTTAATTGCGTGCAATGAAATATTTCTTCAAGCATTAGAAACACAAATTACACCATTGTCAGCGACACTGTCTAATAGTGAACAAGATAATCGTCCAATAACATCACGTTCATCTTCACTATCAAATATAAATCGAATAAATCGATTAAATGTACCATCTTTTAATCGTTCATCAATACAATCTTCAAGTCTATCAACATCACCGTCATTACAAAATCTAAAACATCGACAACATCAACGTCATGAACGATCACCATCTGTTCATTCTGCTACATCGGAACATTCACAACCAATATCACAACAACAAGATATAACATTTAATATTTCTGATGATGTATCAATTGGTGATATTCTATGTGAACATATACCTCATATGGGTAAAGATTATTTTCGTTATTGTAACTCTCGTACATATGCAAATAAATATTTACAAGAAAAATTAGAACCAAATGATCAATTTCGAGTATTATTACAAAAATTTCAAGAAAAATGTGGTGGTTTAGGTTTGAATGGATATTTAATGAAACCAATTCAACGTGTAACACGATATCCTTTATTAATTGAAAAAATTTTAAAAAATACCGATGAAAACCATTGTGATTATTTTTTAATTAAAGAAGCCTATGAAAAAGCAAGAAATTTAAATGAAGAAATAAATAAACAAATAAGTGACCAAGAAAATTGTACAAAACTGGATTGGTGTCAACAACATATTCGACTAGAAAATGATGATGATATGTATTTATATGACGAATATCTTGTCTTTAATTCGTTAACAACATATAATAGTAAACGAAAATTGTTGTTGAATGGAATACTGACAAAAGTGCGTGTGTGTGTGTGCCTATATATATAAAAATATATCATTAATTGATAAAGACACAATAACAGTAGGCTTCTCTTGTTTTTAAGTCATCACATGGAAAAGAATTGATTGGATTTTTATTCAATGATTTTTTATTATTTGCCACCACCAAAGCATCCTCATCGCACGTACAGTCACAATTATTTGAACCAAAAACAAATTTACAGTTTAAAATGTATAAAACGGTTAGTACGTTGTTGTTGTTTTTTCTTGAATACTCAACGTATATGGCATATTTATGCTGTTTTAGCCGTTATTTTTATCTGATATATCATCTGCACATGAAGCATTAAACGATCAATTAACATTTTCAATAACAACAAAAATTTATGATAAACCAATTGTCTTGAAAGCACCTCAAACAAATGTTCGGTAAATTTTTAAAAGAGAAAAAAGTTTTTTTTTGTTTTTTTAATGTAAAAACTATATTAGTTTATATTTTTATTTTAGAACGCTATGGGTGAGAGCAATCAATGCCAGTGTTGAAGAATGTCTATTAGCTGAAAAATCAATATTAGCCGAGAAAGCTGTTTTTTCGAATACAGGTTTGTTATGATTTAGTTCACACTTTTGTTATTGCTAATTCATATCTTCATCTTTAGACAATCGTTTATCAAAACCGAGTATCGCCCGTTTAATGTTATTTGTACAAGAAGCAACGGATATAATGCCATCGACTAAAACACTTAATCGACATCGTAAGTGTTAACTGATAAAAACTAGAAATCAATTTTTATGAGTAAAGGTTTAATGAATGTTTTTGGAACGGAGTCTTTCACTAGGGTTACACTACGCAAATAATCACAAAGATGCGTAGTGTAACCCCAGTGTTTTACTTGTTATAGATATATGGGCGATTTGCAATTTTATTGTACCGATTAGAGAAAAACTGAGTGCTTGCGAGTACAGAGAGGGTCAGTCGTAAATTTTGTTGTACTACATGAGAGAAGAATAGAAAAAAAATTTCCCGGGCAATGCTATCTAAAGGACCGAGATATGAGAGTTTTTCGAAATGCGCTAAAACTTCCTAAGGTTATATGTAGAAAAAACTTTGTGCTCTCCATATATGATACAACTATCTTCAGAAAAAACACATTTACTGGTCTAATCATGAAATGGGACTCATATGTCCCCATATCCTATAAACGCTCAGTCATCAGTGGTATGATTCATAGAGCCATCAATATTTGTTCAACTTATTCACTATTACATGAGGAATTGAATATTATTCGCAAAATAGCTCAAAGTAATGGTTACCCTAGTTCTTTTATTGAAATGATCATTGGGATAAAAACTTTGTGTGTAATACAAAAGTATAAGTATGATGCATCGTTCGATAGATCTCGACGAGACGGACACTACAGTGTGCGTCGTACCATCTATCCATGCATGTGGAGCTACTTGCGCTTACGTTGCCTATCTTCTAATTTTATAAGTGCCCCTTTTTCTCAAAACTTTGCAGAACTCAAGACTCGTCTGCCTAGACAGATCCTCTCATGATGACCAATTCATGTATTAAATATCCACATTCAATGAAGCTTTTGGCACAAACATCATACACTCTCTCACTACGTTTTTTGTGCATTACAGCTTTTCCATGCCAAGGGAGTAGTTGAAAGTTTTCTTTTTTTACTAAAATGTGTGCCTGCCACTATTTTTTGTTTTCCACCGGATCATTCGCGTACTCATCCAAAGCTTGCCCCCACAGATGCGACTTTATCTTTAACTGCGGAAAAAAACCATTGTAATGTATCAGCGAAATTAGAAGAGCAAAAATAAAGAAAATTTTGCTATCGGTGGTTAGAAATTGAAGAAAATTTTTATTTACATGTTGGACTGGAACGATACAACGAAATTACAAATGGCTCATATGCATGCGACAGAAGATCGCGTTTCACATATAAATGTAACGCTACCGAGTCATATCCATGCAAAATGAAACAAAATAAAAAATGAACATGAAATTATTGTTGTTTCGTGTTATACGAAACACATTTTCATTTTCATTTTCTTAGAATGGCATTAATGATAGATTGTTTTAAATTAAAAACTGGTTTTAGATTTATTTGCCAGACATAATCATTTTTCTATTTCTCTTGTGTGAAATTTTTCTATATATTATTATATCTAAAGGGAAGAGTACAATCTGGAAGGAAAATAATTTAATATCACGCTTCAGAACATCCACTCTTGGATTGATTATCGTAGTGAGCAATGATGCGGTAAATGCATTTGTTTTTCAATTTTCATTAATGAACTAGAATGATCCATCTTTCGACTATAATAAAAGGTTTTTGTCTTCTCTCGAAACGTTGATAAAACTACACCGCGAAAATAGTTAAAATTTTTCCCAAAAATGTGAAATTTTAATCCACAATCGTTTTAAACGTATTCCGTTGCCTACTAGAGAAAGAATTTTACTGATCGAACATCACATTGTTGAACACACGACTATTTTTCATGGTAAGAAAGTTTTCGAAATTAAACTCCTTAGTATACGGCTTGGACAAAGGTAACGGCGTGACATTTTTGACATACTAATTCTGTCTTATTGAAAAAACTATAATAGCTAGAGGGTTGATTTTACTGTCATTTTATGCAGCTCGAAATTCTGCATCGATGCTGAAAAGACGAGGAAAATTCATTCACATTTGCGCGCTACAGAACAGGTTTTCAGATGGTAACGCCGTGACAAAAAACGACCCCTTTTTTTAAGACAATCAGCTTAATGTCTAGTTTTCTGCGAACTCTTCGAAGGAAAAGAAAACTGCCAAGATAAAGTCTGTAGGAGAGGTTACGGTCTACACATTAGTAAAAAAATTTCTGAAAATAAACTTCGGTCGCTTAGAAAAGCCATTAGACTAAAGTAACGCCGTGCCATTTTTGGTAACAGCGTGACATATTTTTTTTAAAGAGAAATATTCGAACTTTTATCGATACAGATTATCAAAAGCAAAACTAATAATGTCAAAGTAGTTTGTTGGACTCTGTTTTATAACAACATCAAATTCTGAGGTGTTCTGGTCCATTTGACCACATTTAAGTTTCTTTTTCGGAGTAGTGTTACGTAAAAAATGAGAAATTTGAAACTGAGATGAGTTAGTTATACGTCATTCGATTGGGAATTTTACGCTGATTCCGACTTTATATGAATTAATAAATTTTGTAGCGCCTCCGGGGAAACATTAAGAAAATTCGAGAAAATCTTTACAATATTCTAAAACAAACTGCAGCATTATCTCAGTAAAATCATGAAAAAGTTTAATTTTAATTCGATAGACGTGTAGCCCGTTGCCTACTCTACAATTCTACGCAAACCATGTGACTCCCGCTCTTATCGCTAATTGTCAGAAACAGTTTCCGTGCATGTTTTTCCCAGAATACATTTGGGACAACCTAAGAGGCATGTAAATTATACATCGCTACATAAACAATACATTTATGATATTTTCAATCGTCTAGTATCGCATCTGCAGTCTGATGTAACGTATCTGTTCCACCATCTGTTTTGGATGCTTTTGGTATTAGTTGTAACACTTCAGCGTCTCTTTCTTTTTACTGATTTTGATGGAAAATGTTCTAAAATTTTTTAACGGCTATGTGCTAGGGACTGCATGTATCTGGCTCTTTCTATCTGTATTGCTGTGAAAATAGAGATTGTAGATGGAAAGTAGTGATCGATAGCTGTGTTTGGTAGCGGAACCCGTACTTTTTGCGTAGAATCATATAGTAGATAAGTGGGTGCGACTCATTTTGATAAAATTTAATTCTGATCGTGTCTTTACTGAGTTTTGATGAAATTATTATCTGATATTTTTCGAAGATTTTCGAGTTTTTCTTAATTTGTTTGGTTGCTGTGTGTCAAAATCAAAAAATTTAATCATATTCGGAATAAGCGTGAAATTTTGCATCGACTGATATATAATTTGAGCTGATTTGAGGAAACACCATTGTTCGTGGAAAAACTGTATTTTATTAAAATTCTGTCACGGCGTTACCCAAATTTCCTCAACAATGAATTTTTTCACAATAAAAGTTAGTAGATTAGATAGCCCGTCAAAAGTTGTCTATAAGCCATCACTTTGTTAGCAGAAATATACTAAATAACTTGAATAAAAATTTAAAAAAGTTCTTTTGGTAACGGCGTGACATCATAAATTATCAACTATTGTTTCAATTACCATCAGAAAAGGAAGAATGGAAAAAAAAATTTTCAACGGCTAAAATAAACTTTAGATATGATAGTATATTGAGCAATAAAGAAAATGACTTCGAGTGACTTGGCAGTGCCTAAGGTTTACAAAAGTAGCTCGCTGAAGACGCTTTGTACGCGATGTCTGCAAACGATTATTGAATGTCTTATAACCTCGAACCTTTAGTCTATAGGGGACTAAAAAATATGTTTGCATATACTATCGACTACGCTTTACAAAATGGCATAAGCCGTTTTGTCAGAATCTAGTTTTAAATCTTGATCATTGAAGTGTCGCGTTTCGTTTCCAAGCCATATAGTGGGTTCTCACTTTTTCTAAGAGCTTAGTCGAGCTCAAACTTTTCATAAATCTATTTTGCTACCTGAGATATCCCTACATTATTAGCATATTCATATCGATTTTGCTCCTGGATTTCACAATGGTTTTTATAAACAAAAATTCACATAAAATTCGTTTTTCTCGGTACATGCCGGTGAAATGAGGCATTTTTTTTCATAAATATAAATAGCATATCTGGAATCAGCGCACAAAACTGTATCGAATGATGTATAATACAAACAATTTAGCATGAAAGAGTTTTAAAGTCAAATGAATGTCTCTCCCATCGAATTTTGATAGAAAAACGTGTTTTCAGAGTCGCTTCCTTTTCATTGTGATAGACATGTAAGAAGTCAAATTAGATTAAAATGATGGTTGTTACCATGCGATTACTACATACAGTATGTGCTTGAGTGCTACTGAGAAATTACCTAGAGGGGAAAAGTATTCTAAATTCAATTTCGAACATAAATACGATGATGTCGTTTTATATTATTTTGTAGGTAGTATTGATCCATATTGTGAAATAACCGTTGGTAATTTAACATTAAAAACACGATTTGTTAAACGAAGTATCCAACCAAAATGGAATACACCGATGCAATTTATGTTAACAGATTTTGATATGGATATTATTCATATTTCAATTTATGATCATGAATTTTTTTCACCACCCGAATGTTTGGGTTCAACGTCATTATTACTAAGTGATTTATTACTAGAATCGGGTAATGATCCTCGTTCATCAAAAATGTTAGAACAAGCATCAGTTCCATTTACACAAACAGTATATTTAAATAGTGGGTGTTCAATAATAATTAAATATTATATTCAACTTTTATCGTCTCCTTCGGCATCCTAAACGCTAGTCTTTCTTATAAAAATAACCATTCCTTGACTGACAATATTTTGTAAATAATTTTGTTTTTTTAAAATTTACATGCGTTCTGAGGACTATATCATTATTTTTTTGTCTGACCTACGCACCGAGCGCATTTTTTTTTATTTCTCAGTATTTGTGCAATTAATCTTTTGTTTCATATTTTTGTCATATTTTTGTAAGTGTTATCGTTTCTATAATTAACAGTGACTATTGTCCGTTTTTTTTTTTGTATAATTCATCAAGAGCGACTCATTCCACTATTTTCGGTTCATCTTGTGTGATAGACGATTATGTTCGTCTGTGATAATATGGATGAAAATGTCGTAATGAGAAAGCCAAAACCGGTGATTTAATTCTCTCACTTTTGCCGAAAGGAGGAGGATAATCACGGAAGATAAGTTTGAGCACACTTCTCTTGTCCATTGTTCTCTTATAATGAGAGCCAGTTTTTACTTGTATTGCTGCACTTTTTAAAAATATCTTTGTGTTGTTACTGTCATACACGTTCAATCTAGAAATAGAAATAATAATAATAATAGAAAGAAGAAGCGATTCGAAATAGCATTGTTAATGTATAATGAGATAAAGTATTATAAAGAAAGATGTTCAAAAGCTAAAAGATTGACACATTTTACTATGCCGTATAATATCATGTTCTGTTGACGTTCTTTTTATACGTGCTGATGCCTTTGGTATAAGCTTTATTTCAGTCATACTTTTGCTCTCAGCAGAACAAGAACACTAGAAAGATTTCCAAATTAATGATGTAAAACTGAGTATTTTCTCGAAGAATGTTTTTCGTTTGGGAAAATATCGTTCTGGTTTCGATCTTTGAGTATGTACTATGGAATCTTGAATTGATGTGTACATGTCGTACGGTGCTGGGTCGTTCTTTCCAAACATCCGTTCACCCTGTTGAAAGAAAAACGTTAGAATTATTCCCATTGCACTTTGATCATAACGATGCCGAATCGCAGTATCGAACATTTGAAATTTGTCACATTTTGTTGTTAATTCTTGTGACACTATTAATTCTGGTGGCATTAAACATGTTAAATCTAAGCTACATGTAATCCACGCTTTCATAATCAGTCGTGATAGAAAATTATCCTGAATAAATAAAAAATTCGCTTCACACATGTAAACATTGTCGAATGTTGAAGAAGACTCATTAAACCATAAAAACATGTTGCTAAGTGTAAAACATGGTAAATAATGACCGGGTAATTCACGACATGCAAATCCTCGAAAATTATTATCAATTAGTAATCGATCAAAATTATTCGTCAAATAACGAATAGATGTATCACCATAAATAATCGAACCAAATTGTTTTAGAGCATCCTTAAAAAATCGAATTCATTTGTAATTTGTATTTTTACTTTCAGAGATAAACTTTACTTGCACAACCAAAGACTTCCAGGTGTAAGTGGATTTTAAAGTAATATGTGGAGCGATTTTTGCAATATTTTTAAACGGAAACTGTTTTATAATACATTTGACACAGTTCTCGTGTATCTAGAAGCGAATTATCAGTCTGATAGAGTTTATAGTCAAACAGTTTCTTACCATGTCCACTTGTTCATCGGTTAAACCGAGATCATAGATAATAACCTGATAGTTACTCAAATATCGATGTATTGTTCGGAATGAACCTTGAAAGTGACCAAAAAAGAATGAATCTGTTGCCGTAACAATAACAGGTCTGCGATACTTGAATGTTAAAAAAAGTCAGGTTTGACACGGCCTTATTGATATTCATTTCTTTCTTACCGTTGCTAAATCCCATTGTATTTTATAATGTTTAAAACCATCTGACAAGTACATTGATACTTGTTCCAGATATGTTAATAGTCTTGGACGAATATCGACATGACCATTATCCGATACGCTGATATATTTATTGAACAAA